TTATCTGGCCCAAGCTGGAGCTCCTTCCGGGTCTTCTTAGCTTTGGGGAGGCAGGAGGGAGGGGCAGGGTGGTCTCACCTCCAAACACTGGCACCTGTGTAACCCATCCCAAGTCACCTGTACAAGTAGCCAGGGTCCCCGGAGGCTGGAGAGCAAGGTGGCCTCCTCTTCTCGTGAGCTGTCTGTGTAGTACCAGCTAGGGAAAACTAGACGAGGCGCTCACCCTTGGTTTGTCTGCTTGAACCACGCCTGGGGGCCATGCTGGCGCCCAGGGAATGAAGTCTCCTCTCCTGACCTGAGCATTCCTGTGGATGGAAAACACCTCTGTCTCCTTGGTTGTCTCCTCTCTCCTGTGCGGAGGGGGAGACAGGGCTGTGAGGTGTTCACCTCTGTAGGCTGACCTGCTTATCATCCCGTTGGTGGCAAGATGAGAGGGGTGCTAAGGGTGTCCGGTACGAAGGGATGGATGTGTTGTAGGTTGGGCCAGGTGTGGACAGTGTTCACAGAAGCTAGGTGGGCAGCCTTCCCTGGGGACGATGACCCAGGGTGGGCCTGCTGGGGTCTGTCTTTGCCTCGCTGCCTTCTATCTCTCTGTCTCTGATTCTTCGTCACAGAGCACATTCTGAGTCTCCCAGGTAGCGTGCTGAGCAGCCCAGGCAGAGTAGGAGGTGCCTGCAGGGCAATGGGGGCATGCCCGGTGGCCTGGGGGGGTAACCTACACTCTCTGCCCTTTTTCCAGGTGTGGGTTGGGAGCAGCAGCGGCCTGCCGCCCCTGGAACCTCTTCCTAGCGACCTGCCATCATGGGACTTTGCCCAGCCTGCTTTGTGGAGGTCGTCCCATTCGGTTCCTGACACCGCCTTTTCCCTTTCTCTAAAAAAATCATTCCCAGCCCTTGAAAACTTGGGCCCAGCACACTCCAGCAACGCTCTCTTCTGCCCAGCCCCGCCGGGATATCTGAGGCAGGGCTGGACCGCCCCAGAGGGCAGCCGGGCCTTTACCCAGTGGCCTGTAGGCTAGCCCGGGCCTCCCTGGAGAGGGTTTATGGTGGAGGGTTGCGGCCTGAGACCCCTGCTTTAGGGAGAGGCCCCCAAGGTGGTTCCTGCCTACCATACCCAGCTCCTCCCTGGATGAGGTGGGGTCTTCCCAGATCAGAGACCCCAGGTGAGGGTGGCAGGGAGCACCTTTCTGGGTCCCCCCACAGCTCCAAGTTTGCCTCTGGGCTGTCTTGCCTCCATCCTAGCTCTTTAACAGATGGTACCCCTGGGCCTCTGTCCTTTCCTGGGTGATGTTGGAGGTTATGCTTTTCTGGAAACTAAGCCACCAGCTTATCTGCTTCCCTGCCCCTGCATTACTTCCTGTAAGGTGTGGGGTTTCTAGAATAGGGGCTGGCCACCTCTGTCTCCCCCAGTCCAGCTAGTGTCCTCCCCATGCTGCCCTTTCCCTTTGTCCTCACACGGGTCCTACTTTCATTTCTGGCTAGCCAATTAGACTTTTGTGTTTTCGAGGTTTATTAGCAGGTCTGCTCAGGAATTAAACTGACTGGTAGCTTCATATTGGGCCACCCCAATATACGGCTTTGGGGGCAGGTAAAGCATATGTAGAACCCCCTCTCGGATCCTATTGGTGTGCCCTTTAGCCTCTGCAGGCTCTGCAGGGGGAACAGGAGTGATGATAAAAGTTTTCATTCTAACATTTGAGGCTTTGTGTGTTTTGTCCTTGGTGTGTGTCATAACACTGACATCATCGTCCCTTGGTGTACGAGCCCACTCCTGCCCTACCCCTCCAACACACTGTCACAGACCTGCTGGCCCCACCTCTGGCTCCAGAGCCAGAAGTCCCCTAAGGAGGACACAGCCGGTGAAGACTTGCTGGCACTCATGCCCTGGACTGGCGAGCAGGTGTGCCTGGGCTTGACTGAGCAGCAGGGCACCTGTTCAGCGTGCTGGGATAATGCCAAAGGTGTCAGAGGTGAAGAGACACCCCCCCCCCAGGCTCCCCCAGCAGGCTGGGCCCAACCCAGACCGCTCAGCCCCTCCTGTTGCCTCAGGATGAAAGGGACTGGTTACAGAGATTGATGCCATAGCTTGAATGGAAAGACCATCTGAACGTAGGCACAGGAAGCCTGAGGCTTGATAGGGACACACAAGTGCTCTTGGGGCTTGGCCTGGGTGTCCTTAACTGGCTCTGATGCCCCCACCCCCACCAAGCACTACTGGACTTAAGGGCTCCATGGGCTGGGACATCTTCCCCTCATTGGAGTTCAGCCTCTTCCAGTGCTTCCAGTGCTCCCCCCCGGGGCATACACTCAAGAAAGGGGCCCACAAAGCCCATGGAGCTGGCTCCATGCACTGCCATCTTGGACTTTTCCAGGGCTGTGGCAGAAGGCTGCTCAAGGTATCCTCTGAGACTGCCCAGAGAGTGGGGAGGGGGGGTGTGCACTATGTCCCTGGCACCATTCGGGCCCCATTCCCAAGCTACTCAACCTTTGGGAAGAAAAGCTTTGGGAGGTCTAGGAGAGTGAAACTGATGGGGAAAGGATGGGAGCTCAGCACAGGGTGGTGATGCCCCAGATGGCAGCTGGGCGGGGCCTGGTGGGTGTGCATCCTAAGAAGGGCAGGCTGCCTGAACACTCGGCCATGGGCAGGGCAGCCATTCTGAGTGTCGCAGACCATCAGAGCGCCCTGCCTCTGGCTCACTCTCCTCGCCTCAGAGCCCCTCTGTTCTCCCTGTCTCCAGGATAGAGGGGGTGTTTTCTGCTGAGTGGCCCTGGCTTAGAGGTTCTGGGTGTCCCCTTTGAGATCTGTCTCTCCCTCTGCCACTTCTCTGCCTCTCCTGGGTCATGTGACCAGGCTCTTTCATGTTGTGTTGTCTGAACTTCTGGCCAGCCTAGACTTGGGCTCACACGCTTTCACGGTTTCCCCAGAAAACCTGGGATTCCAGCCACAGAAGACCAATCCTGGCACAGAGGAGCCAGCATTCCGTTCAGCTGGGCTTTGTAAAGTGCAAAACAGTGAAAGTTTTTGTTGTGTTTGTGTTTTTCCTCCCCAGCAGCAGATTTACATCCCTAATTATGTTTGCTCAAGCTAAAGTTAGCTTTCATTCCTTGAGAGATAATCAATGGGGGATGGGATGGGGAAGCCAGCCTGGTCGTGGGTTTTAATTTTACTTAGCTAATCCCCAAATGGATAATCCACTTGTGGATAATTGAGGTTTGGCTGTCCGTCATCTTTAGGTTGCAAAGCATGACAGGCAAAGCCTTTAGAAGACAGATCCCAAAAGCCGATTGGCAGGAGAAACAAGGCGTCTCTTTCACATCCCTCTCAAGGCTCACACTCCCAGGGACCCCGCAAGACTGAAGCCTGAATGTGTGCTTTCAGCCTCGTTTTCTTACACCTGGTCTTCGTTGGTTTCTTTGAGTTCTGTCGCTTCGCTTAGAATACACTTCCTCTCACTGTTGGGGGGGTGGTCCTCCCGTCACTTCCTGGCAAAGCCAGCACTTGTCCCTGGGTAAGTCGACAGGTGCACCCCTCCCTCCTGAGGGTGTTCGCGGCAGCGCTCGCTCTTGTGTACAGGCTGGTGGTCTGGGGAGAAGATTCTGAATTTTTTTCCCCACGGTGGCCTGTCATTGACTCACAAGGTCCCTGACTGAGCTGGGGCCCAAGAGAACAAGCATCCATGATGAGTTCTAAGTCGCCCAAGTGCTGGGATTTTCCTGCACAAATCCTGTCACCTTTCCCTTGGCTACTAAGTCTGTTCTATGTTAAAAAGTGTCAACACAGGGCCAGTAGGTGGTGTGGTGGTTATGGCACTGGACTCCCACATGGCTGACTGCACCTTTCGAGTCCTGGACCTAGTGGCTTGAAAAGCACTGGGAAAGATAAGAATACTTCAGGGTGGCTGGGAGGGTGGTGGAGTGCTGGCCTGGCCATGCGAGGGTGCTGTTTCTCTAGTAGCTGAAACCTCTGGGGAGGTTTCACTTTCTAAAGCTTCATTTATCAAATTAATAAACTGGGGCTGGCAGGTGGCGTGGTGGTTAAGGGTGCTGGACTCCCATGTGGCCAACTGTGCCTGGCAGCTTGCTTTCTCACTGAATATATAAAACATAAATGCAGGAGCCAGCCAGGTGGTGTGGTGGTTAGGGTGGCTGGATCCCACATGGCCAACTGTGCCTTCTGAGTCCCAGACCTGGTGGCTTGAAAAACACATGGGGTACATGTGCATGCATGCCCCAAATCTCCTTCCCAGGGTGTTGGTTTAATCTTCAGCTCCAGAGCTTTCTGACCCTGGGGCCCGGCTCTGAGATGGTACTCACATGCCTGGCTTTGAAGGGCCATGTTGTCTTGGATGGTGATCATGGCCTGCATTGGAGTGCTGCTCTGAGGATGAACTGAATGACATCAATGTCCCTAAAAGGCTCAGTGTGCCCACCCAGCACAGAACGATGCTCAGTCCGTGTAGGTTAGGACCTGCCTTTCTGTTGCCGTAGCATTTCACAAATGCTCTCAAAGCCTCTGGCCCTCATTCTCTGTGATTCTCACAGTAGCCAAATTGACCGTCATTTTATGGGCTGTTTTTTCAATTCAAACTCACAAAAATATTATGAAGAATTATCTTTGTACTTTGTCTTGTCTTTCTTTTCCATTTCCCTGTGACCAAATTTAATGTCATTTTTGAATAAAATGAATAAATTGAATTCTCTAGGAATGGAGAACAGGAAGACTGGTTTATATGCCAATAACTCATTTGTAAATTGACGTATATCCAAAGCACCTAAAGTCAATTCTTAAGTGTGTAAGAATGAACAGGGCCAGCCCTGTAGTATACTTGTTAAGCATTGTGCACAGGGAGTCAGATTCCACATGGCTGACCATGGTTCAGATCCTGGCCCTGGCTTGAGAAACACGCTATACGTGTGTGCACACATGTCCAGGGTCCCACAGGGTGGAGAAATGGGAGAAAGGGGACAGCAGTGTGACCGTGCTCTGTTGCAGAGTGCTTTCTCTCTGTTTCTCTGGTGGGTGCACATGTCCTCTGGCAATTAAAACTAAATGAGGAAGGGCCCTATGGTGGGCCACTGCACTTCCACATGGCCAACCTCAGTTTGAATCCCGGACCTGACAGCTTGCTTTCTCACTTTCTCTCTCACTCTGTCCCTCTCTGGTCAAATTAAAATAAATAAGTAAAGTTAAATACAATAATTCTTAAAAAAAAAAAAAAAAACTAAATGAGGAAACGTCTAACTGCTCATTTTATAGAGGAGTGTAGAACTTTGCTTGCCACATTCTGGTCTGTGGTAATCACAGCCAGTAATTCCAACTCAGGTGTCCAGTGAGGAAACATCATGGGAAATATGAGCAAACAACCACTTGGCCTTCTGGGTAGAGAGCCGAGGCAAACTCTAAAGGGAAACTCTCTTTATAAAGGGAATTCATGTGATGGCCAGAGAATGTTTCTGCCTCGTGGTGCATAGGTAGGGCATCAGGGGTGGATGCCAGTTTTTGCCTCATCCTGTTTTCCTTTCTGCCCTCAGACCTGCAATGCTTCTTTCGCCACCCGAGACCGACTGCGCTCCCATCTGGCCTGTCATGAAGACAAGGTGCCCTGCCAGGTGTGTGGGAAGTACTTACGGGCAGCATACATGGCAGACCACCTGAAGAAACACAGCGAGGGGCCCAGCAACTTCTGCAGTATCTGTAACCGAGGTAATCTCCCCACTGTTTCCTCACTTCCGGAGGACGGGCCTGAGCTTGTGTCTCGATCCCACCCCGGGCTCAGACTCCATTCTTTACACAGCCCCCTTCGGGCTGAACAATAAACACCTTCACCACCCAGTTAGCTGTTCGCTACCCCTTCCTTCCCAAGAAGCTTGGAGTGCTTGGAATAGGAGGTACCAGAGACCAGCGAGTGGAAACAGAAGGACGGAGGTTATTCTCAGGCTTAGGCCCGTCACACTCCTGCTGTTCAGGTAGCAGGATGGATGTGTTTTGCAGACACCATCGAACTACTGAGGGTAGGGGAGTTATGAGGTCCCAAATTGAGGTGAAAAGAGGACCTGCTTGAGAGCTTTTGCTGGCTGATTTGCTGGCGTAGGAAATTCAGGAGCCAGGGAAGGAGGTCGAGTGTGGAGATGGGCAGGGAACGGAAACTTTCTAACACAGGGTGGTCAGAAGAGAGCCCAAACGCAGGTAGATTGTGGCCTTGATGAGAGAGGAAAGTAGGAGGTGCTCTGAGCAGGGCAGCGTGCTTAATGACAAGGTTGGCCTAGGTCGTGTCTAATGCCGTGGCAGCAGTGTCATGTTGGATGAGGTCAGGCCCATCCCTGAGATGATGCCGGGTCTAGTTGGCCGTTGGATGTGCTGGAGATTTGTGTTTTGCAAGCACAGCGTCAGTGGAGGAGGCTTGCGCCGTGTCTGTGCGGAGTGCGACCGGCAGCTGTCTGTGTGGGCGTGGGGATGCTTCTGCACGGTGCGCTTGCTTGGCTGGGTGGGGATGCTGTTGGGATGTCCTTATCTTCCGGGGCACTTTTATCCCAGTGCTCCTGAAAGTCTGGAGTCTGGCTTAGTGAGTTCGGCACTAAAGCAGGAGTCAAGGGATCTAGGGTTCATCCTAGCCACTCGCCAGGTGGCCTTGAGCTT